CCCGGGGGGGCGGGGCGGGGCAGCCAGCGGTGCTCTACCATCTCGCTGCCTTCCAGCACCCCCAGCGCCTCCTGCAGACACTGCTCCAGGAAGCAGCCCGGGCCGAGAAGCAGGACCTGGACCACTACCAGCTGGACCAGCAGGTAATGCTGCCTCGGGGCACAGGCAGGCCCCCCGCTCCTGGGAGACCCCTTCCCCTTCCCCAGCCTCCCTGATCCTCCCTCGCTCTTCCAGGTGCTGCCCAGCTGCCTTCCAGCACCCCCAGCGCCTCCTGCAGACACTGCTCCAGGAAGCAGCCCGGGCCGAGAAGCAGGACCTGGACCACTACCAGCTGGACCAGCAGGTAATGCTGCCTCGGGGCACAGGCAGGCCCCCCGCTCCTGGGAGACCCCTTCCCCTTCCCCAGCCTCCCTGATCCTCCCTCGCTCTTCCAGGTGCTGCCCAGCGCGCTGCCACCCAGCTCCCCGCCCAAGAACGGGCTCTACCTGACGGGCCTAGAGCTGCACAGCGCCCTGTGGGACACGCGCACAGCCCTGCTCCAGGAGACCCTCTCGGCCCAGCCCTGCCTGCTGCCGCCCGTCTGGGTGCAAGCCGTGCGGGAGCCCTCGCGTGCTCTGCCCCGTCTACCTGGGCCTGCCTCAGCAGCCGGCGGGCCTGAGCAGCCATCGGGTTGTGACTCACCTGGCGCTGCCCTGCAAGATGCCCCTGGCCCTGTGTGCTCAGCGCCGGGTGCACATTGTCAGCACGCTGCCCGGCCTGGACTAGCCTGGGGGCCCCGTTGTCCAAACGCAGCCCCGGGTACAGAAATAGATCGATATATTAGTGTGTACAAAACATGCTGCCTTCCTCTGTCCGGGGCCCGGCTGCGCGCAGGGCCCTCCTCGCCAGCCCCGTCCTGGAGCTCACACACATAAATAAGGCCCAGGCAGGCTGCACACCGTCTGTACAGCCCTGCAGAGGGGCTGAGGCCTGCTCCGGGCCCTGCCCCGCAGAGCCCAGCTGCTGAGCCCGGCCTGCGGGATCCTCCATCCCCATCCGGCTTGGCTGGGGCTCATTTCAGGTCGACATCGAAATCCAGCACCAGCAGCTTGGTCTCCTCGGTGCCGTTGCGGCTGCCCACGGCACACACCAGCTTTGTGTTGGAGGCGCGGATGCGCCACACCACCCCCCCGCTGCCCCCGCTCTCCAGGGTCACCAGGTTGCGCACAAACTCGCCACGGTGCCGTCGTCCGAGCTGGTCACCACGAACTTGGAGCTGAACTGGAGGCAGGTGACAGCGCTCTGGTGCTTGCTGGGCCCTGGGGAAATGCAGCACCCGACTTCCCCCGTGAGGGTCCCCACTCACCCTGCAGCGTCTGCAGGCACTGGCCCGTCTTGATGTCCCAGATCTTGACGGTTGAGTCTGCGTTGCCTGAGACGAGGATGTTATCCCGCAGCTCCATGCCACTGGTGAGCGACTGGTGCCCCATCAGCGTGTGCAGGCAGTTCCCACTCTCCATGTCCCACACCCGGATGGAGGTGTCCAGGGAGCCACTCACAATGTGCATCCCGTCAAACTGCCAGAGACATGGGCTCAGCCACGGACCCAGCATGAGGGGGAGCTGCTCTTGTCATGGGCCAAGGCCTGGGACTCACTTGGGGACTCGCCTGGGGCAGAGGGCCGGGGACTCGCCCGGGCCAGGGACCCGCCTGGGGCAGAGGG